CGAGTGTGGCCCCGGCCTCAGGGTCCAAGATTGGTGTACCTACACTATCAAAGTGAAGTTGGCTTACTCCAGTCAAATGTAAACCTACAACACCTATTCCTGAAGTAAAGACTCTTAGGTACTTAAATCAATGATCACGCACACGCATTCATGGGATATGTGAATAATTTTATTTTTATTCTATATTATTAGAATATTATTTTATATTATTATTATTTCTTCAGGTCACAGACACTTTCAGTGCACTGATAATTTGGCATTTATTAATGCTAACGTACTTCAGTTAAATATTAATATCAGTAAACCAAACTATGGACATCTGTTTTACCAAGTCATTTTTTACATGTATTTTTTAAATCGACCAATGACTCGACCCTTCTCAAATGGCTCCCTAGATCTTCTGATCTTACTGTGTGTAATTTGTTTAATGGGGCTGTGTCTGTGTAAAAAACAAAGTTTATGTCCCACCACTGCCTCAAACGTGTCAAGAGCTCCGTGGACGAATTCGCAAAGCTGTAGAATCAATCAACCTTGCGATGGTAGCCGGTGTATGGGACAATTATTCACAGTTTAGATTGAAAACTTGCTCTTCGGCTAATGGACGGCGCCGCATTGAGCAAGGTTTAAAAAAAAGTAATGTCAATAAAACGTTTTAAAACCTCATGATTCTTGTACAAACACCCTGTATTAATTAGTAATAAATAAGTGTAAAAGCAGTAGTGACTATTGGGTATGGTTGATTATTCGACAAATAAAATATTTCCAATACATAATCAGAGTTATTATTATTATGTTATTGGTTTCATCTCATTTTTGAAAAGCCTTTAGATAATATTAAACTGTTATTAGTGGATCTTTTGTGGTAAACACTTCCCTGATGTCATCATTTCAAGTCAAAAACCCATTAAATGAACTTCAAAGAGCCGTCCATCCTTAAGCCGAGTAAGTTATATTTTGTCCTTCTTCACGTCGGTAATTATACCGTAATTCCGTGCCAATGAACTGACCTCTAGCATAATGTTAAGAAATTGTTTTATGAGGGGTTAGTGTTAAAGCAGGAATTAATTGACACGCGGATGTTAATGTCAGTTGTCTCAGCCAATTACACGAAGTTGTGAATATAATCTTTCTTCGGAGTGTCCAGATGTAGGTGTGGAATAGTGGAAAATACTTGTACTGAACCTGGCTTTTATTTTTTAACTGTTGTTAACTGTTTTAACGGGGCCTCGTTCATACGGTTCAAGGGCTTCATTGGCAACATATACTGAAAAGACAGAAATTTTGCATTTCCAAAAAACAAATAACCTACTGTAAATTGGCTGCTACGCAAATAGCGACGATTACATGCATTGTTGTTCATCAACGAGTTTAAAGGAGACATGACCTTCCTGTCATAACAGCAGCTACTCACATTTTAATTACTCCTGGTGCCAATTTTTTACAGTCAAAGTGCAGTGTTAATTTCAAAAATATCCCTAAAGAGCAAGTGGAACACGGTCCTTAATAGGCCACTGCAAATCATCTTTCGAGATACCATTTTAGGCAAGGTGTCTGTGTTTTATGTTATTATACACGATAAGAACACAATGAACTTTCATATGTAGATGAAGGATCTGTTGGTTAAGATAAATATAAACCAAATGTAGCCTGAACCTTTTTTTAGTATCAAGCTAGAGCATCTTTTTATATAACTATCTGGGTAAGTTACATAGTATGATTGTAGGCTGCTGCTCGGTGTACTTTAACTATATTTTGTTATAATTTTTTTATTAGTTTGTTATAACATAAAATATTTTGATGTTGGTATAGTAATAGTATATTCCATATATATAAAAGGCAAAAAGGTAAATACTTTTTGGTGACCGATTAATTTAAAGTGATAGTAATATTATTTATACATGTTACAGATTTAAGGCATATTGATATAACCGCTCAAAAAAGATAAAACTAGGGTGGTCTGCCATTACACTTTAGACGCATAAATGAGCGAAGCATTATTTAAAGATTGTCAATGGCTAAAACAGCTAACAACCTACAATATGTTTCCTAAAAGATTCACCGTTTGTTCGCCCAATATTATTTAAGTTCTAAAGAATGACAAATTTATCTGTTAGCCTAGTTCATTTATTTAGTTAAGAATAAGAATAAGAATTGATAAAACTACCTCCGAAACTACTGAACCGATTTACATGTTCTTGGTGTCATTGGAAAGAGCGTAACGTGAAGTTGTGCAGGAAACTTTCTTTTTAGGGAAATAATTAGAGGGTGAGTCCCTGGGGCCCTTTAAAGTTTCGTATTTCTCCATAAGATTAACATGGGAAACAAATATTGTTGAAACTCCAGCTGTTGTCAGAAATTAAAAGTGAAGAGAAGAACATATGTTAATTGTAAACAGTCAATAAGTTTGCTAATTTAACAGTTAGTTTGCCACAAACATTTACTTACTCGGTTGAAATGAAATAGTCACTATTTGAATTTGGGTTGACGTAATTATTACAATGGGAAAAAACGAGAGAGCCTGGATAAATTGATATACTAAAAAGAAAACTGAATTAACACTGTGCTGCATTTCTTAGTAATCATTGAAAGAGACGATTTGCAAACTATGGAAACATAGGAAAGTCATAGAACACCACCAAGGGGAAGAAATAGAAATAATGTGTGTTATAAACACTAAAAAACAAAATCAGCTTTCGAAAAATGATAACATATTTACAAGAAATGTTGATTATATCGATCTGTTATGTACATCTTGAGTATTCCATAATCGTTGAGTCGAATCTTTTATAGTCATAAAAAAATGTGACTGTTTTTCGTTTTAAAATAACGCCTGTAATACTTAGAAATTGCTCGATTTCGAGCAACAGGGACACTAGTTAATTATAAAACATGTTGTTGATATTGTATAAAATGTACAGTAAAATTCAAAAATTATATTCTCTACTTGCTAGTCTACTTATAGAGCTAACTGTACCCGTTGGATTGAATGAACAGTGGAGTGAATGAACAGGCAAATAATTTGTAAAATTACTTTTTGGAGTGAACCACCCTTGGAGTGAATGAAACATATCGATAATTACAACTCAAGTTGTTGCGTTATTGCCTGCTTGTATAGCCTTCATCTATGGCGACGCAATGCCCGCTCGCATCTTAGACCTTCCGGGACTCGAATCTTAGACCTTCCGGGAATCGAATCTTAGACCTTCCGGGACTCGAATCTTAGACCTTCAGGGAATTAGACCTTCAGGGACTCGAATCTTAGACCTTCCGGGAATTAGACCTTCAGCAACTCTCATTTTATAAACATTTATTTAAAAAAGTTACATTATGTGCCCAAGGTATAATCCCGCAAGGTCTAAAACAGTATCAGTGGATGAGTTTTTTGCATTGACTGTACTCTTAGACCTTCCGGGAATTAGACCTTCGACATACTACCAGATTAGACCCTCAGCAACAAGTACAAACTGCAAAATGTGTGTCGAAGGTCTAAATAGACCTTCCGGGAATTAGACCTTCAGCAACTGATCCGTCTAAACGTAGAGCGTTGGAGGCAACCGTAAGGGAAGGGGAGAAGAGGGTGAGCTTACTTACCCTGTGGTGCTGAAGCCTAAACCATCTTTTCCTGTGTTCCTCTTGAGCCCATGACATGACTGAGTGACATGCATGCCCACGAGAGATTCCACATAAAGGCTGTGGTCCCATGAAGTCTGAGGCTGACGCGACATTTGCTAGCCTGTCAGCCACCTCATTCCTTTCTATCCCTGAGTGCCCAGGAACCCAACAGAGTGTTACCTTGTTGCGCCTGCTCAGGTCGCATACTGCAGATAGGCAGTCCCAGACCACCTTGGAATTGAATTTGTAGGAGTCAAGAGCTTTGAGCGCAGCCTGGCTGTGTGTAAAAATGGAAATGTTGATATCCCTGAAGCCCAGCCTCAGGTTCTCCCTAGCACATTCCATTATCACAGTCATTACGGCCTGGAACACAGTTGGAGGAGTGCCCACAGGAAGACAAATGTCTACCCTGTTCTGCACTCCATGAATTCCAGCCCTTGTCCCACTTCTTACCTTTGAACCATCAGTATACCATTAAAGGTTGCCATGTGGAAGAGGAGTCCTACCCGACAGCCACTCATCTCTGGATGTAAGAAGGACGGTTAATGATCTGGCGAAGAAGAATTAAATTGGCATGTGGTCTGAGGGCATTTTAATGCCAAATTTAAGGCTAGTTTGCAAATCTACACGACACGCTCTTTCCAACGAGACGTCAATGGTCAAAATCGGTTAAGAAATGGCGGAGGAGTTTAAAGGAGAAAATTCGTGTTGGCGTATTAATTATATAGATGTAGATAGATATAAATACGAATATTGACATTCGCTTTGGGACAAACGCTTGGAAAGCCACAGCAATCCGTAAATGGTCAAGCGGCTGAGCGGAAGCGATATAGTAAGCATTTCGTTTGCAAAATAGTGTTGGTAACAGCTGGCGAGTAGTCGACGACGGCAGCGAATCGAATACCGATAACCGATATCGAACGGCGATAATGCTCTAGTGGCAGATCGCAAAACCTTTCTTTGACAGTCTATATTTACTCTATTGTCTATGATATTACTTGCATAAACTAATTATAATTCTGACCCAAAATCTGAGGGCTGATATTTATGACCCAACTCAAAGGAAAAGTCTGGGCCGCAGAACCATAAACCCCCCTGGTTACCTGTTAAAACTAAACTCGGATTTTAATTATTTATCTGTTATTGAATGATATCTTTATCGATGAGCATAATTTCCCATGTTCCCATTCCAAACGTTTTAGCATATAAATTATGTGTACTTCAACACACAATTCAAATGAAAATAACCTATCGTTGCTGATTATTTAAAACCTGGACAAAAAACATTATTTTTTTAAAAGATCCTCTTAAAAATCATAAAATAGGCCTACTTTTTGAAATATTTCTGTTTTGATTATTTAGGTTTAACTGATGACTAATTGTTATAGTTTGTGACCAGCTGTTCCAAGCCTCCATTGCTCGGGTTTGCTCACCTAGAGCCACCATTCTCCATCCGCTGTGTGGAGGTAGGGGATGACGAGGACACTGGTGACACCATTGGTAAAAACCTCAACTAATCTAGTTCTGAAACAAAATTCTTATTTATCATTCCTTAGCTTTGGTCTTATGTCATGCCTCTAAATAAATCTATCCTGATCGATCCTGAGTCAATAACAAAAAATGTATTTAAATCAGCAACAACTAAAAGTTGTTGTGATGATAGCAGTAGACTATATGCCATAAATTAGCTCTGAATTAACTCTTTTTATTTGAAGCACTTGTAAGTTTAGCGACCTAGGCGAAGCCACCGTTGGATAATGAGTCAGGTTGATATTTTTTGTTATACAGCACTATTCTGTAAGCTAAGTAAGTATATTTCTCACTATGAGCGTAGCGAACAAACTTCAACCAGGACGTGATTGAGCCATGCGAACAAGATAATCTTGAAAATTAAGAAGTTAAACGGGGCAAAGCCCGCGGGTTACAGCTAGTTATATATAAGTTAGATTAATAAATGAAGTAAATTATCATATGATTTTGGAATTTTGTCTTGTAACATAGGTTGGCTCAGACATTGTTTTCTATTGATTTATTATATAAGATTTTTTCATATATTAGGTTTTCTTTTTGGATTTGCATTGTATTGAGTATATTTTCAGGATCTATTGTAGAATAGAATAGAATAGAAACGTCTTTTATTTGAAGCGGTTTTCATTTTATGGTGGCTATACATGTAGAATTCTTCTTTATTAAATAAATCATTTGTCTTTGTTTGGTTTGAATTCAATTACTGATAAATTTTGTTCTATGTTTTGATATTTATGTTTAGTCTTTATAGTGTTTAGGTATTATAGTGTTCTGCTGTGGTATTATATTCTGGTCCACGCCATATGATATAATACCTCCGTTTGACCCTTGTCAAACGGAGGTATTATAATGCCACCATTATAATATGTTTCGCATTATATATTTTTTAAATAAATTTTGATTTTTTTGAATAAGAAATAAGTGATTTATAAATAAGATGATTTTTTCCCTAAAATTTTTCTTTTCTACCTTAAGCTACATACCAAGTTTTATAAAGATCGGTTGAAAAAATTCAAAAATAAAAATGTTTGTGTACAAATTTCAAAATGGCATATATTTGGTTAACAAAGCGATTTTGGAAAAATGTTATTCTTGATTTTCTCTTTATTTTGACCCAAATAACCATTTCCCGGAGTTTGGCTGCTTACTTACGGGACATCTATACTTATAAAAGGCAAAGCCCTCACTGACACACTCACTCACTCACTCACTCATCACTAATTCTCCCACTTCCCATTTACCTAGGAGGCTGAAATTCGGTACACCGATTCTTTGGGCATTAAATAGGAAAACTACATAGTTTTTATTCTGATCGGGCATTCGGGCTCCACCCCAGTGGCTCTGGAGTTTCCCATGTTAACCTTATGATTTTTCATATTATAAGGAATTAATGAATCTTAACAGCTGTTTCAATTAAACAAGTTGGTTCTGTTCTATGATTTTCAATAGCATTAAAGTTACAAGGATTACCAACAAGGTGCAGCACTATTATTTTTTTTTATTTATGACAACAGCTAATTTGCAACCAAAAGGTGAGCGAGCGTAGCGAACGAACTTCAACCAGGACGTGATTGAGCCATGTGAACGAGCTCATCTTGAAAATTAAGAAGTTAAAGGGGGCAAAGCCCGCGGGTACAGCTAGTTCTGTATAAAGTATACTCTAAGACAGACATATTCACTGTTTCTAATATCATTACAAATACTTGGATAAAGGCCTTAAGTTCTGTTGGCCCACTTGAGCTGAGAAATGCTTTTTTAGTTAGTTTTAGACTGAGCAGCAAAATCATCAATGAATTTTACCACAAATATTTGTCCTATAATTTCCTTGTTTCAATTGGAAACCATCAAACTATAGCTACATAGTGTATTTTTGTTGTGATACAAATATTTATTGTTGATTTGATTTTTTCCTGTCAACAGGAAGTGTGATTCGTGGATTTTTTACGATTCGCAAAAAGGACCCACAACATCGGCTCCCCACTTCGTCCACTTGCTTCAATCTGCTCAAGTTGCCAAACTACCAGCGCAAGAGCACCTTGCGAGAGAAGCTGCGATACGCCATCACGAGCAATACAGGGTTTGAACTGTCTTAAATAGCTTGCGCCGTGGGACTAGGAAAATTTCAAAATGTTCAGGTCTAAAGTCTCAATCTTCTCTTACACCTAAGTTCAAGATATATGTATTTAAGTTACCTATTATTTATTTCCTAATTTAGTTGTCTTTTCATTATGATACATTGTACAAACATTAGTAAATTTAAATATTATTGACTGTGCTTACTCTTTGTTTCTAACTGTATCTATCTATGCTTATTACGTTATTTGATATAGGTTAGTTTTATGATTATAGTTTTAAAATAACAAAAGTTTTAAATATGTATAAAAATTTAAAGAGTGTTTATTTTCTCAAGGTATCTCATAGGTCACAATAGATGTTTGTATTTATAAGTTAAAACATGTTGTATCTGTTAATGTTATGTGTAAGTAATAGGATAGTAATTTCTCTTTATGTAAAAACAAAAATGGTTAATGTATATCTAAGTAGGATTTACCTATTAAAACTGGTTTACCTATAGTTTATAAAACTGTTCCCAATTAATTTACTTGAGCCAAAACGAAATTTTTTTATGTTTAAACTAAACTAAAAGTAATTGACAACTGTTCACTGTTGAGAGAAAAATGTGTCAAGAAGTACAATTTCACCTAAATTTTCAGGCTTTTTCATAAAATATATATTTTTTAGCTATGTTTTCTTGTCACAAGTTGGTGAATCTCTTAGTGTGGATTGTCTTTACTACTTACAGTATACTGTTGCCTATAAATCCTTTTCAGCGACATTTTATTACCAAAATCACAAGTCATTGCTACTGTTGAATGCCATTAACATTAGGTGTATAGAAGGATTTTTACTTTGCTTGAATACTTTTAGTATTTATGTGTTTTAGATGTAAACAGTTTACAAGATATCCTTGTCTTTTAAGCCTCTTTCGTAGTTCAATTTTCAATGGGAACCTTTGACTATTGATAGAACAATCAGCATCAAGTCAACAATGGGTGGGATTGAGAACTATTACTTTGAAAAAATTGATAAAAATGTGTAGCTGGTATCCTTACTTCCAGTTGTTTATTTTTAACTTACCATAGGGATAAAAAAAACTACTAGATCTACACAACAATACAATTATCTGGAAACCACTATGAGAACCACTATTTCACTGTAGGATGACATAAAAAATATTTTTACCACATTATAATTTTAATAGGTTTGTTAATTATAACTGCCTGCAAAGTAAGTGTGGAGTTTTAACACGTTCGCTGCGGCCCACCAAATGGCGGGCGTAGCCCCAGTGCGGCGCAGTGTCGAGCGGATCTGTTTTGCTTTCAAATATTTCGGTCTGATGAATAGCAAATTAAGTGCGGTGATGTTCTGCGTTACGACGAGTGTCGACGTAGTTTGCTGAAACACTCACAGATAGCAGCACTGTCTGGAACCAGCTGGTCCCATTGTATTGCCAATAGTAGGGAATAGGAGGGAGAAAAAGCAGGACAAAAAGTTTATTTCTAAGCTTACCAGAAGGGGATTTTACGGGGGAAATTTACTACCAACCTATACCACAATAAAGCACCCATTCCTAGTTAAACGCAGACATAAAAATACCCGTTCTTCCCGGTAGGCTGCTGCTCAGAAACTTAATGGAATTTAGGCAATGCCAGCACTCACCGGTGAGTGGCGCACAGCAAATGTGTAAAAACTTATGTAAAACACAAACTAATTTATATAACACAGTTTAAAAAACAATTGGGTCTTAAACCTTTAACACTTAATGCCATTTGTGAACTCCGTTATACGTTTTAGGATCTTCTAATACCTATAATTACTGCAGATCCGCTTTAGTAAATGTCCCGCTGAGGGGGGCACAGATATATTTGGAGCCCATAGCGTGTCACATGTAACCCATGGGCCTGAATTACTGTGAATAATGCAACATATTTATAATCTATATGACTAAATAAATGCAATGTAAATCTTTACGTGATGTAAATGAATAGTTTTTAAAGCATACGTTGTGGAAGGGAGCAATCAACCTGTTTACTCATATTTACACCTCTGAATGAATTACATGATTTTATACACTTTAATCCTTTTTGCCTATTGATTGATATAGATTGAATGTATACAATTTTATGTATATATGAATTCAGTGTTGGTAATAAAACCATTGTATTAAAAGAGTAGGATTGAGCTTATATTTTAGAAAAGAAAGTGTTAATATAGGAATAAGATACACTCAAGTATCCAAAGATGAAGTTTATTTTCTGAGTAGTTGACTGTGAAACAATTTGACTGATAGCTGGTTAAGACCGAGATTTTGATTCCAATCACACATATTTTGTTACACAAAATTTAATATGATAGATATGTCTAGTCTATTTTTTAATATGCAGCCTGTAGTAAGTTATTTGTCTGTGATATGTTGTTATAATACACTCTTTCCTTGAAGTCTTTGTGTTCTTGTACCTACATATTTATTTCATTGGCGGCAACGAGAGTGCAGATAAGCTGGCAAAAAAAGGTGCAAGCATGCCAATCTTTGGACCGGAGCCATTCTGTGGCATTAGCAAAGCTACCGCCATAGACAAAAAGAATGAAATATAGACTGTCAGCTGTGCAGTGGTTTCCATGGTTACCATAGGTTCTGGCGCACACCACTGGGAGCGCTGTGTAGTTACGTAGCGCTTAGGCCATAACTACATGGCGTCCCAGCGGTATGTGCCAGAACCTATGGTAACCGCAGCACAGCTGACGGTCTATATTTAATTCTTTTTGTCTATGGTACCGCTAAACATGCAATCAACAAATGGTCCAGGGGACAACACCTAGAGCGTTGGTGTAATTATCCTGGAAAATCACTTGGCAAGGAATTGCTCTCACAACATAGCACCCTCTTCACTCCCTGGCTGACAAAGCTGGGGGGAGAGTAAAAATGTAATTTAATTCAAATAATTCTGCTCTTGAAATAAATAAGTAGTTCAAGGTCTATTTCCGACATGACCAAAACTTTGCAAACAAATACCGGTACCCAAAAGTAATACACAATAACTACAAACAACAGAACTAAAAGTACACTTGGTGCAACCGACAGACGGCAAGTGCCAGTTGTATGTGAACAGTCACATTGGGCCGCTACACCCACTACTCCGGCCGGCTTGTTTACCTGACTCCGGCAGCCGGCCTTCGCCGAGGGGGCACCCGTCATCTCTCGGCTACGTGTGCTCCCGCTATCTCCGCCTCCGAACCCATATCTGTCCCGCCATCTCCGAATTCTTGAGTGACCCTTATAATCCACTGCCTGCGTTGCTAGCTGTCATTTCAAGCAGTCATTGTCATCAAGCCCCGCCTCCTAATTACCTCCCCTCCATAGTATAAATAAATCAACCCTACGTATGTCATTTAATTTTTATCCAAATGCTGAATTTGTGTCACAAACGCTGAATGTTTACAGCTGTTACGTTAAGCAAATGGTATTATAGCAAAAGCTTTAGTCTAGAATATTAGCGTCGGCTGCTAGACTTTTTAAAAATTAAAACTTAATTTCTAAAAAAACTGAAACCCTAAACTAAAATTATGGCTTTGACATTCCCTAGTTCTAAAAATTATCTTTCTTTCAACACAAAAATCGTGAAAATCCGTTAAGTGGTTGATTCAGAATCGTGAAATAAAAAAACCCTGTCACGTTTTAATATATCCCCCCCCCCCCCCCTACGTTGGCCTGTCCTACGTACGGGAATCGACTAGTCAGTTAAAATTGTGTTTAATTCAGAACAGCTAGCTATGCATTTTAAATCCGATAATTTGAAACCCGTGATACAGTTCTTGGGAGCAGAGAATACGATTTGATTTGTATATAGAGCAATGGTCTTACTTATCTCTGTGGTCTACTTATATCTACTAATCTTACTTGTTTCCTATAATCGATGACAAAATCATAGACTAAATAAAATAACCTCATAGATCTATAGAATATTTTACCATACAAGTATTTTTAAACCAAAGAAATTATACAAACTGGATATTTTACTATAAATTCTTAAACAAAATATTCAATATTTTAGCGGTGTTTAAGGGAGGCGGGACTTCGCCCTCGCGGAAAGTATGAACGCAGGTAGTAACCGAGGATTTTAAGGGTCACTCTGAAATTCGGAGGTGGCGGGACATGGAGGTAGCGGAACGCGGAGATAGTGGGAGGTAACCCTCGACTAGTACCCGGCAGCCGGGTAAGGTATGGGTAAGGTCATATGTGAAAGGTCCTATATACTTCTCCACCCCATTGCCGGTTAAACGACACCCGACACCCGACAGCCGGGTAGATGTGAAACAGGCCGTAGAACGACGGGAGAGGGTTCACATTAAAGGTCTCAATCCTGTGACGGCGGGAAAAATAGTGAAATTCCCTAAATTTAAACACAAAATCAGATGTAACGTAAAATGTTCTTCATAAGAATAGCATTAGAAACAAGCCATTTACTGCTGATTTTTGTTTACTTCAATAAAGCTGATCGTGATTTATCATCAAAGCCAGAAAGCAATATTACATTGAACTAGTGGCTTGTAGGGGCAATAGCCCCTATATATATACAGAGTGAGTTTTAAATGATTCCCCCCCTACTTTTTTCTACATTTCTTAAGATATCAACTCCGGACCACGTCAGATCATTGTAGAGTAGTAAGTACTTCATTTTGACTGGGTATACAATTTTGGCCGCCATCTTGGATCTGCCATATTGGATACAAAGTTTTTTTTTTCAAAAGCAAAGGTAAGGTTGTGACCCATCGTTTCAAACTAGATTTTTACGCTGAATACGATGCTGCAATCCGTTTTTAAAAATCTTGATTCGTTCTAAAGTTATGAGTAGGCCTACTGTTTAAAACTTTATTTTTAGCCAATTTTAACATTGTGCAGTTACAAACTAAGACCATAATCGTATCCAAGTGATCATAACCAAGTGAAAATAGGTTGACAATGACTGGTGGTGTATACTTATCTTTATCTAGCTCTATTTTACGATTATAGTCTGAGTTTGTAACTGCACAATGTTAAAATGGGCTAAAAATAAGTTATAAAATGTTTCCATAACTTTAGAATGGATCAAGACTTTTAAAAACGGATTGCAGCATCATATTCAGCGTAAAAATCTAGTTTGAAACGATGGGTCACAATCCTACCTTTACATTTGAAAAAAAACTTTGTATCCAATATGGCAGATCCAAGATGGCGGCCAAAATTTTATACCCAGTCAAAATGAAGTACTTACTACTCTACAATGATCTGACATGGTCCGGAGGTGATATCTTAAGAAATGTAGAAAAAAGTAGGGGGGGAACTCATTTAAAACTCACCCTGTATATATATATTCTAGTAATTATTTTGTACAAATTATTAGTCTCATGGGTTACCCTACCTTGAGTTATCATTTAACATTTTTGTATTTTATGATATGTAAAATAGTTATTACATACCTGCATAATGCATTTTGATGTCTGCTCTGTTTAAAATAAAAATTCCAAAGGACATGCGGTGTGTTTATAATATAAACTTTCTAATCATAATACAACTAAGGAACATTTTCCAATATCAATCTTCATGACTATTAATTAAATCTATCTAGATTTCTTTAAATATAGACAAATTAAAACACATAGGGATAATGTCATCATCCAAATTGTAAAATGCTAATTCTATAACAAAATCTCTCTGAAAACAACATTTGTCGTATAGTATCCATTTTGGTCAATTCCTTGGTCTTCATTTGGTTCCACACTGGGTTTTTAAATAAATGCCAACTTTTGTGAAGGTTCGGCCTTGCACCACAATTTCACCAAATCAAATTGCGCAATGCACCACAATGAAAGTACCCATCGTTCATTGGTCCTATGCTGTGCAATGGAATTTCATTTAAAAGTGGTAATCTATACAAAGGAATAAATTTATGTTCATCCGATGCTCATTTATTCTTCTTCCATTAATATCGTGCCAAATCTGGCACCTGTTGTTCTCATTTCGAGGAACAATACATATCTCTGCATGGTGGTCTTCCGACATTATACATTATTACTGTGCAAATAAGAACAATCCATTTTAAAGTATTAAGTTTAAAAGTTTATAATTGTTTGTTCAAAAGATTTTATCTAATTTTCACTCCGTGTTGCTTACTACTTCACTATCAATTTTACAATAACAAAATAATCCGCATTCAGGTGTGGTTATATTTTTTTCAATTTATATAATCACAGCTGTGTTTACACTAAATAGAAAGACATAAAATTAGATTCCCATGTAATTTAAATGTGAATTATTTTATTCCGTAACAACCTTTTGGTTCATAATTAAGATACCCCCGCCGCAGCAAACCTGCCGTCTAAGCGAATTTCCATTTGGCCGAATTGATTTTCAATTGATCTATTTAAATAACATTAGGTTTAACGAGTACCTAGGTTTGCTGCTACAAGGAAACTAATAAAGTAGTGTGTTTTTAGTAAAATATTGATAGCTTACTATAAAATAAATAAATTTGCCAAGTTTGATCAAAATATATCCATAAACAAGCAAACTACAACATTTTACAATATTCTCCATAAGAATAACATGGGAATTTTAAATTTACAATTTTTTTAGTTTTCTCCGTAACCAATAACCGTACAAAAACACTTTGATATACTGAATTGTTTGTTTTTTTAAGCTCTTTAAGAAGGTTTAGAGAAAAATTGGGAAATTTTGTGTTTTGAGGGTAAAAAGTGAGAAAAACCAATTTTTACCCCATAAAACCCTGTTCCCATGGTCCGATCATGCTGGATCGCGAACTCATTCAAGTTTATCCCGCCTTACACCTTCAAACCAAATTTCGTCAAAATCGGATAAAAATTACTCAAGTTATCGAGTTCACGGACACATATATATATATATAAATCTATATATATACCTATATATATATATATATACATATATACAAATTTGAACGAATGGTGTTTTTGGCCTCTGGGGACATTAAAATGAAAAAGTAAATCGGTCCCGGGCCTAAGTCTTACCATGAGACCTACGGTAATAGCTACTTCCCTATAGGGAAATTCGCTAAAAAATGAATAATTTTCCCCAAAACTTCATAATCAGACCTTTAAAATGAGACCTCTCCCAGCTTTCTACGCCCTCCCGTTCGCTCACAATTTCATTGTAAAATTTTGGGCTTACGGAATTAGATATATAGATAGATAGATGAACACTTAAGAATGCTGAAGTATTTAATACTAGCAACAGAGCCCGTTGTGGTTAAATACAATGGTCTCTAGTAAAATAATGGTTATGAAATCCATACACCACTTTACTCACTAATATTAATAATACAGATTAAGCACATATCAGAATCACACGCTTAACATAAGGAACACACTTTAAACACAAATAAATGCAAATTGTAAACAACAACATTAAATC